AGAGGAAGACGAAGAAGGCTCTGGGGGCCACTGAGCACACGGCCCCCCAGGAAGAACACTCTGCCGAGCGAGCCCCTGTCCCTGCCTCCGGCCCTGCGTCGCAGCCCTGCGCCGGGGACCGCACTGTGGGCGATCTCATGATCTAACGACACCACCGCCCAGGGGCCCGGCGTTTGGGCCCCACGTGGGGGCTCCCGTGTCCAGTGGGGACAGGGGGCTTCGGACCCAGAGGGCTTCAAAGGCAGCCTCGCCCCCCAAGGCGAGCAGAGAAAACAGCCCGGCAGGGGAGAGGTGAGAGTGCAGCGGCTGAACAAACAGCGGCCCCGTGGGGCCAGGGCCTGGCCCCTCCCCGGTGGCTCAGCGTGACACCTGGGCTTTCTGCCACCATAGACAGGGTGCGTGTGGCTCAGGGGCGTCCCAGCCGGCTGGTGCTGTGCGTGTGCACGCACACGTAACTGTAGCATGCACACGCCGTGAGGTGTACACAAACCACGCGGGGTGGCCCGTGGCACCAGCACCGTCCTACGCCCTGGCAGATTGAGAACACGTGAGGACAGGGGTCAGGGAACCGCAGCCCACGGGCCCAAGTCACCCGCCACCTGCTTTTGTGTAGCTCAGGGACTAAGAACGATTTTGACATTTTTTAAATGGTTGAAAAAAAAGAAGATTGCATGACCCGTGAAAATGATATGAAATTCAAATGTCTGTGTCCAGAAATTGAACTATTAATAGTTGGATTAGAACACAGCCACACTCATTCATTTACATATTGTCTGGGGCGGCTCACACACAACAATGGCAGAGTTGAGTGGTTACAACAGAGACCGCAGGTCCCACAAAGCTTAGAATAGTTATTATCTGACTGGGCCAGAAGAAGCCCGCCACTCCTGTGCTAGGGTACCAGCAAAGCCAGGGCAACTTCTCCCCCAAATGAAAGTTTGGCTTCAATGAAAATATCAAGAAGTTTACAATTACCAAATCTAGGGGGAGGATTGTGTTCATTTGAGCACAAACACACAAGTTTTGGGTTTTACAGTTTTATGTTGGTTTGTGTGCATATGTGGGTCACAGAATCTTTCCAAGATTTAGGATCTCACACCTGTCTCTCTCCCATCCACACTGGTGAGCACATGCTATGTGCATAGTGGGTGATTAGTTCACATTTGTGGGGTAAAATTGGCTCAATTCTCTCTTTTTTTTTTTTTTTTTTGAGACAGAGTCTCACTTTATCGCTCAGGCTAGAGTGAGTGCCGTGGCGTCAGCCTAGCTCACAGCAACCTCAAACTCCTGGGCTCAAGCAATCCTGCTGCCTCAGCCTCCCGAGTAGCTGGGACTACAGGCATGCGCCGCCATGCTCGGCTAATTTGTTCTATATATATTAGTAGGCCAATTTCTTTTTTTCTATTTTCAGTAGAGACGGGGTCTCGCTCTTGCTCAGGCTGGTTTCGAACTCCTGATCTCGAGCAATCCTCCTGCCTCGGCCTCCCAGAGTGCCAGGATTACAGGTGTGAGCCACCTGCCCGCCTTCAGTTCTCTTTATTAATCCAAAATCCTGCTATAGAGATGCCATGCTCTCGCCCACTTCATAGATGTGGAAACTGAGACCTGGAGCAGTGAGGACACCTGCCTGGCGCTCAGGTCTGCTCCTTGCTGGTCTTGGCTTTCCCCAGACCATTACCAATGAGGACGAGATGTGCTTTCTTGACATTGTTTTACTCCTGGGTAAGGTCAGGGTGCAAACTCTAGCACGTCTGGCGGGGAGCCATCTTGCCCCTCCCCCCAGCGGGTTTCCGGACATCCGAGGGCCCCTGCCAGCCCCTAAGAGGTTTCTAGGCCTTCCTCCCCCATTGGCGCGGAGGGGTCTTGGCAGGCTCCCGGGAGCCTGTAGAAGGAGAAGCGGTTTTTCTCCCTTTTCCGGGGCAAACGGGGCAGGTGCGGCGCGAGCAGCCCAGGGGAGGGGTGTGGGGAAGTGACTGCAGCTGAGCTTCTGGGGACCCAGTGAGGCCGAAAGAGCAAAGCGCTATGGAGGGTAAAGGGCCTGCTGAAAGGGGGGTGGAGGGAGTTCGGGGGTCTGGGGAACTCAGAAACCCAAGTGGGGGTGCCGGGAACAGAAAAGGGGCCCCCAGAGGGGAGGAGGATCAAAGGCAAAGTTGCCAACTTGGTGGCCTCGGAGGGTCTGTCCCTGCTCTTAAGGACCACCCAGCCCCCCACCAAGCGTCCTGGAAAATGTCCACACCCGGCATTAGCTCTGAAGCCACAGCGAGGAGAAAGCCCCCCGTTTCTGCTCTCAGGCCCCTGCCCGCCACCCCCGGGCGGAAACGGGGCAGGCTACCCCAACACTTCGCACTTTCCATCAGGGTCTCAGGGCCCCTCTGGGAGGACAGGCACGAGGCACAGGAGACGACTTCCCTTGTTCTCAGGCTCAAAGCCAAAGTCCTTCTCACAGCTGTCCGGGCCCGAACGCCTGGTCCTGGCCCAGTCTTAGCTTGCTCCGCCTTTAGTGCCCACTGCACTCTGAACGCAAGGGACTTGAAATCACGCTGCGCCTGCCCACCCCAGGGCCTTTGCACGGGCTGTTCCTTCTGCCTGGGACACTGGCCCCTCAACTCCATTAGCCCTGGTCAAACGTCACTTCCTCAGGCCAGCCCGCCCCGAGTTCCAGGCTCTCAGGCCTGCAACGATGCTCTGTGTGACTCTGTGTTCTCGCTCCCGGACACACCCGGCCCTTCGGCGCAGACCTGTCCCAAGGACCCTACCCACTCCTTGCTGTGTTCTCGTGCTTAGTGCGGAATCTGACACACAGCAGATCAGACAGGCGAGGGACGGACCGCACGAGCGACTGGCACCGCTGGCGAAGTGGGCAATGCCCAGAGTCGTGGAAACCAGGTGTACCAAAACGTGACATCCATAGCCACTTGTTACGAACCCGCCTGTGTTTCAAGACTTGGTGAGCGCCGGGTAGGTACCAAGCAACATTCTAGAACGGGACAGCCCGCAGCACTCCCTGCGACGATGCCACTGGAGCCACGCTGTCCTGCAAGGCAGCACGAGACACGCGTGTGGCTACTGAGCACTTGAAGTGTGGCTAGTGCCACCGAGGAACTGGACTTTAAATTTTACTTAATTTTCATTGATGTAAGTTTAAATAGTCACATGCAGTTGGTGGCTGCGCTACTGGACCACACGGCTCTAGGGAGGAGGGAGGCACCCTCCTGTCCCCGGGGCTGTTACGTGCAGTTCTGTCGCCCAGAGAGTGGCGGGAACGCCCCAGACTCCCGGTGCCTGGTCCTCTGGGGGTCAACCATGTTTCACCCTCCCCCGCCCCCGTATGGCCTGGATGTTCTTTGGCGCATCTCACTGAGTGCATGACCTGGTTCTACTCCCCCGACGCCCACCAATCTTGTCCCCCGCACGCCTGGGCCTGCGCCCTGGAGGGGCGGTGGCCTCACAGTCAGCGCGCGGCCAGAACACCACGCGAGCAGTCGGGCGCCTGCGAGCCGGGACCGCCGCCCTCGCCACTGTCATTGCCTGTCTCCGCTTGCCACCGTGGCCACCGCACCAGCCCTGCACACGCACCATCGCGACACCGATACAATGCCACCGCCGCGCCGAGCGCGCCACGCCGCCCGCGCCATGTGGCCACCAAGACTGCCACCAACACCGTTCTCTCCATCCTCACCAGCCCAGCTCACCGACTCACTATCACGCCCCCCAGCCACCACGCTTCCGCGCATTGTTCCCCCCCGTCAACGAACATCCAAGTCAATCCACACCGGCACCACCGCCGACACCGGCACGCCACCGTCAGCCTCTCCGTTGTCACGGTGAGCACCCACCAAAGCCAATCACCACCTGATTTCTCCATCCCCCTCCTCCCCCGCAGCCACCGCCGAACACCTACAACCCGCCCAATGTAACGGCCACCACCGTGACTTCGCCCTCCCCCCACCACTCAGAGCCAGTTAAGAGCTTTGGCTCTGGCATCCAGCTGCCTCAACTCAAGTCCCAGCTCTGAGTTCAAATCATTCGGCTCCCATGAGACTCAGTTTCTTTATCTGTAAAATGGAACCAATAATAACAACACAATAATAAGACTTACCGCCTGTGATTGTCGGGGAAAAAAAAATCAAATGAGGAAGTGCATGCAAAACCCTCATTCTGCAATAATTGAGTGCTGGTACTATTCCAGGTTCTGTGCTCAGTGAGCACAATTTCATTTAATCCTCACGCAGCGGTAAGAGAGCGTGATCTACCCATTTTGCAGACCGGGAAACTGAGGCTCAGAGAGATGATTCAACTTGCCCAAGGTCCCGCAGTTAATATTAAGAGGCTGCACTGGAATCCAGGTCTTGAACCGGACCAGGCGGGACTGCCCTTTTTTTCTGGGGGGTGTGGGGGTGCGGAAGGGAGGCCGGACCGGCAGGTGTGGGAGTTCAGCATCCGGCCCTGAAAGGCCGTGGCCGCGGGGCCTGGCGGGCGGGAAGGGGCGGGCGGGAGCCTCTCACCTGTGTCCTGGCGGAACTGGTGCATGGACTGCAGGTCGATGATGTAGGGCACCAGCTGCGCGTCCACCTGGCCCAGGACCACGGAGCCGCGGGCGTCCTCCTTGAGCACGCTCTCAATGTGGTGGCACACGGTGGCCGTGTAGGGCCGCCAGCGGCTGTGCTCGCTCAGCCACTCCCACACCACCACGCGGGCCACGTTCTGCGGCGGGAAGCCCAGGCCGTTCCCGGGCACCATCCCGCCCGGGCCTGGCCGCGACATGGCCGCCGGCGCCTCGGGGGCCAGGTCCCCGCCGTGGAGGGCCCAGCTGCTCCTGGGCCCGGCTCAGGCAGCGACTTCCTCTCTCCCGGAGGGCAGCAAGGACTGCCTGGCCTCCTTTCTGCCTTCGGGGCCTCTCTGAGGCCTAGAGGCCTCAGGGAAAGGGAAGTGGGGTGGGGACCCAAGCTCCCAGGACCCCTTCCCCAGACGGCAGTCTCAGATAGAAAGGGGCAGCCCGGGGAGCCAAGTGTCTTTCTCAGGACCGAGCAAACAGGGCTCGGAATTCCTCGGCCGGCTCGGGTAAGGAGGGAGGCAGCTGCCCCTGCTCGAGGTCCAGCCTCGTCCCTGCCGGTCTCCCGTCCTTCTTCCTGGCCACGCAGAGCCTGTCACCCGAGGCCCGGGCCCAGCCTGCTGCTCCTGCAGGCTCGGCCAGCCCTCTGCGTGCGCCCCAGTGGCGTCCCAGCCCCTGCGCCTGGCTCCAGTGGCGCTGCTCGCCTGGCCTCGGCCCCGACCCCGGGCCCCCGCCGCAGTTCCTGCTGAAGGGGGCGTCCTTGTCCCCTCGGTCCCTCTCCGCGTGTCCTGGAAGGCCCCGGGTGGCCGCAGAACGCACGGGGGAGGGGTGCGGCGCGGACCCCGGCCGGCGCGCCTGGGATGCGGCTCCGGAGCTGGGCGGGCAGACGAGGGGACGAGGGGGGCGGGGGCCCGTGGGCACGCCCCACCCCACTCGTGCTCGCGACCTGCCGGGAGACAAGAGGGGGAGAGGGCCCTTTAAGAGGCGAGCGCGGCACCCCCTCCCCCCTTCCTGGGAGAGCGTCGCTGAGAACAATGGGGAGCTGATGGGGGCAGCAAGGGGCGTCGGGGGTCGCCCCGCCCGCGTCCCCCCCGGGGCAGGCCGGGAGGGAGGGCTGGGCTGGGGGCGCGGTTTTCGAGACCCCCAGGGGCTCCCCCCTCAGCGCCCCAGCGCTCCCCTCCCGGGCCCGCGCCCTGCCCCGGGGATGCGGGGTGCGGGGGGTGCGGGGATGCGGGCGCTGCGGGCGCGGCCCAGGCCCCTGGGGGTCGCGCCACCGAGGGGCGAAGCAAGGAGCTCGATCGTCACCGCCTCCGGCCCTGGGGTGACAGCCCCCTTCCCCGGCCCAGCCCTGCGGCCCGGGCGCCCGCGGGAGCCGGGGGTGGGGTCCCTCGCACCCCGCGCTCACCGCCTCCCTCCGCTCGCTCGCTGCGCTCCGCGCCGCCGCCCGCGGCCCCAGTGGGGGGAGCCGACCCGCCTCCGCGCCCTCTCGCCGCGGCCGCCACGCCACGCCGGCTTTGCGCGCGGACACACCACCGCCGACGGCGACGCGGCAGCCGGCGACGGACGCCGGGATCCCGCGGGTGGGGGCGGCCGCGGCGCTCGCGGGGAAGGGGCGGGCGGGCGGGGGAGGAGGAAGGGGAGGAGACACCGCGGCCAGCGCCGGCGCGCCACGCGAGTCCCGCGCCGCCCGCCGGGGCCCCAGGCGGCCTCCCCGGCCCCAGCAGGGTGTGAGGCGCGGAGTGGGGTGTTTGGGGGTCACCTGCTTGCATCTGTGTCCTCTCTGCGTACCAGTCGCCCAGTCCAGGGCCTACACACAATTGGTGCTCAATAAGTGCTCGAGTGACTGAGATCCAGGGACTGTCTAGACAAAGATGTTAAAGCGTTCCGGGCCAGCCTCCGCTGTCCTCTCGCCACTTGCGCCGGCGGGAACGGGCCGCTCAGGGTCAGACAGAGCCGTGGGACCCAGTGCACAGATGAGAAGACTGAGGCCCAGAGAGAGTAAGAAACAGGCCCAGCAGCACGAAGCCCAGGGCAGGCCAGACACCAGTCCAGGTCTGACTCTCCTGCCAGTGCTGAGTTAGCCGGCCCGGAGCCCGCTTCCCCCAGAATACGGACCCACCTGCTCCAGGTGACAGGGATGGGGACAGCATCCTGCCTCCTGGGCAGGAGAGGGGACCTGGGCCAGGAGGCAGAGATCTTGCTGGAAGGGGAGGGCAGGCCCTCTGCCCTCTCATTCACAGCCACCTGCAAACAATAGGTGCTTAATAAATGCTGGGCGAGCATTGGCTGGTGGCGGCAGCAGTTTAAGCGTTAAGGAGATGGTCGGTCCCTCCCTCCGCTGGCCAGCTGGCCGCAGCCCAGGACACACATGAGCTGGGAGAGGGCTGGCGCACACGGGGCTCGCTGGTGTTTGGACTGGGGAAGGCGCAGGGTGGGTCCGGGAACCCCCGGGTGGAAGTGGGGGGTCAGCGCCTGTTTGGAGCCTGCCCAGCGAGGCCCACGCTGCTCTGCGGAGGGCAGATGGCGATAAGCTAGACGAGGTCAGGACAGGCTGCGCAGGGGCGTTTTCCCAGAACCAGACTCTGGCTCCCCGGCCAGCTGCAGTGACCTCCCCGCCCCAGGCCCCCTGCTCCGTCCTGCAGCCGGGTGCTGGATGGACTTTTCCAGATGGGGTCAGGGGTTTTGTTTGCTTTCACCTGCCGCAGGCTAGAGCCAGGCCGCATGGGAGGGCAGGGCCGGGTCTGCGGTGGCGACATTCCAGCAGGGCCACTGAGCTCCGGGACTTCAGCTTCAGGGCCCTCGATGGCTTTCTGGGGGTCCATGAAGGGCCCCCTCCCCTATCACAGGCAAACTTGCATGTCTCCATTTTTCTGGGAGGAAGGGCTCTAGCTTCTAGCAGGTTCTTCCCAAAGGAGGCTGTGACCAAAAAGATTCAGAGCTGATGTTCAACAACTTTGTCACAGAAGTGGATCTGGGGACCCCAGAGTGGGGAAGAGATTGGCTCAAGGTCACTTGAGGATTTAGCAGCAAATTGGGAGGGAGAACCTAAGTCTCTGGACTTCCTGTCTAATGCTATTTAAGGTCGGAGTAAATGTCACCTCCTCCAGGAAGCCTTCCCGAATTCACCCCATTTCCTCTGTGTTCCTTTGTCCTGTGTACCTCGACAGGACACCTTGTATCACAATTAGCCTCTTACATGGAACCTGTCCCTGCTAGAGTGAGGGACAGGGGGTCCATGAGGTCAGGGACTGTGTGGTGTCCATCTCGGTGTGCTGTGGCTGGTGCTCATTGCGTAAGGGTGTTGTTTATTGAGTGTCTATTATGTGCCAAGCACTTACATAATACCACTCTTCATAGCTGCCTTGCAGGGTAGGCAATATTGTCCTCGTTTTACATATGCGGGGGACAAGGAAAACCCCTGAAGCTCAGAGAGGCTTGCTTGAGTTCCCGCAGGGAGTGAGTGGCAGAGCTGGGATCTGAGCCCCAGCTTCCGTTGTGCCTCCCACCACACCATGCTGCCTCTGTGTTTGTTGAGCGACTAATGGATGGCAGCCAGCTGAGGAGTCCTATCTGGCTTAAGGAGTCAGGGTGATGTTTCAACCACTCCCTGAAGGATCCGCAGGTCTTAATATGGCCAAGCCAGGTGGAAGGAAGAAGGGTTGAGGCAGAGGGGAGAGGGAGGCGCAGGGGCCGGACGGAGGTGGGAGAGGGCCGGGGATGTCAGCGCAACACAAAGGAGACGACAGGTGACCGCTGAGAACGGACAGGTGTGGGCGTGGGGCCAGGTGATCCCAGATTCCTGGGCCTTGCCCTGAAATTCACATCCAGGGGGAGTCGAGTGGGGCGTGGGCATTTCCGGGTGAGATGCACCCCCCCCACCCCCAGGGCTGGGTCTCACTCTGGATGCACACAGGCATCTGCGGAGTGCTTAAACATTGCCGCGTCCAAGCTCCACCCTCAGAAATCGTAGCTGGCCTGGGGGTGGGAGGGGGAAGGTCCAGGCATCAGCAGTTTGGGGACAATGGCCCTTTTCCTGGATTTGAGGGTTGAAACTGAGAGGGTTGAGTCAGCCCACCTCTACGTTGCTGGGCTAGTGTTGCGTGACGTGAGCTCCCAGAAGCCGTCCACTTACTCATCCGACCAGACGGTGTTTATTGTGCACCTACTATGTGCCAGGCACTGTTCTAGGCCCCGGGGATACAGGGGGGAACAAACGACGTAGAAATCCTTGCCCTCTTGGCGGTGACATTTTAGAAGGAGGGGAGACAGATAGCAAACAAATGCATAAGTCAAATAAACAGTCCATCGTAAAACGTAACCGCTGTGCAGAAAAGTAAAGCCCTCTTAGACATTCCTCGTGGGGATGTGACTTGGGACAGCCATGGCAAAAACCAGTCTGGCCCGACCAGTTAAGCATGAGCGTAGAAGGATGTTTATAGCAGCCCTGTTCTCAGTGGCCCGAACCGGGAAATGACCCAAATGCCCATTCACGGGAGAGCGAACGAATAAACGATGGTTTGATTTCCACCGTGAAATATTACACGGCACTCAAAACGAAGGGACGTTATAGCCACACGCCACAATTATGGATGGATCTGAAATAGAATATTCAATGAAAAATGTCCCGATACATACACATGACTCCTTTTTTTATAAAATTAGAGGCAACTGAAATGATAGACACGCATATTTGATGATAAACTGTATGAAAAGGAAACAAGGGAAGAATAAATACGGGATTCAGGATGAGGGGTACAGTGGGAAAATGGGACCCCGGGGATTGGGGGACCATATGGCCAGATGTAAGTCATTGTCAAGATCCTAGCTTTGGTGTCGGGTGGTGGTTTCACAGGTGTTTATTACATTCTTGAAAGTAACTGATTACAAGCTGATGAGAGTGTTAGGCACCAAGGAGTATCATTAACTTATTTTTTTTTTTTGGTGGGGGGTGACCAAGGTTAAAGAAAAGAAAAAGCAAGAAAGTAGGGAGGGGCTGGATTATGCTGGGGGTGGGGTGCAGTTACAACTGGAATCAGCTGGTCAGGGGAGGTGCCACTGAGGTGACATCGGAGCCGAGACTTGGAGGAGATGGGAGGGAAAGTGCGCCAGGCGGAGGGCACAGCACGTGCAAAGGCCCTGAGGCGGGAGGGTGGCTGGCACGCTCTAGGAGCGGCAGGGAGGTCAGTGGGGTGGCGGAAGCGGGTGTGGGTGCGTGTGAAGCAGGCTTAGGGTGGGGAGAGGCAGACATGGGGTGCGGGAGGAGAGGGAGGCTATTCGTGGGTTTCTCGAGGGCTCCAGATCCCGAATCTGCTCTTCTCAGCAACTGGCTGTGCAACTTTCCCTTGGATTCCATGCGACACCCCAGTTCCCCTGAGGAGGCTTAATCGGGTTTCTAGTACTTGCCCCCCAGTGAGTCCTACCTGGTCACACCACTGACCCCGTGGCCGGAAGATCGCGGTGCAGGTTGCTTCAGGAGAGGTTTCCTGAGAGGAAGTGCAGCCAGCCGGAGGACGCCGGCGTTTCAGAAGCAGAAAGCTGCGGGAGGCAGGAGGGGACCCCGGCCAGCATCCGATAAGGGGCACGGGATAGCAATTAGCCCATTCCCCGGGCACTCCGTAGGATCAGGGACTTTATTAAGCTCTTTCAATCCTCCCAACAACCCTGACAGGCATTATTAGAGATGTTACAGATGGGGAAACTGAGGCCCAGGGGGGTTATGATATACCCAGTAAGCAGCTGAGCCTGAAAGCCCCAGGTCTGGCTGACCTGGAAGTTTTCAGCCCCGGGGATGTGAAGTCTCTGGTCTAGTTCCATGGCGGTGTCCCTCTGCCTTCATGGACTTCAGTTTGTCTCTTCCCTGCGGTGGGGTGGGTCCTGGCCCCCTCGCCCTTCTGCCCCGGCCCCCCGATCTAGGAGGCCTGCAGGCAGCCAGGCAAGGTGGGGGCACCCGATCCTAGACTCGCTGTGTCTCTAGAACACAGGGGAGGGACCCAGAGAAAGAAGAGGGCTCAGAGGCAGCGAGGCCTGGGTGTGGCAGAGTTTGGGGCTCAGGCCAGGGAGTGGGGGTGAAGGTGCCCACGTGTGTGCGCACGCGCTTGCTTATGCAGAGCAAGCTTCCGTCTGGGGAAGAGGTGGGGGACGGAGAGGAGAGAGGAACCCTCATTTTTCTCCAGCACCGGGTCCTTTTTTCCCCTCTAGAAGTCGCCAGCTGGGTCCGGTGGGGGGGGGGGGCGCTGAGAAATGAAACGGGAGTGTGGGTGCAGCGCGCCCCCTGGTGGCCGATTAGTCTATTGCTTTTGGTTCTATTCTAATGCTGGAGGGACTTCCAGGTAATTTATTTTGAATGTTTTTATTGTGGTAAAAATGCATAGCATAAAACTTGCCATCTTAATAATTTTTTTTGAGACAGTCTCGCTCTGTCACCCCGGGTAGAGCGCAGTGGTGTTGTCATAGCTCACAGCAACTGCAAACTCTTGGGCTCAAGTGATCCTCCTGCCTCAGCCTTCCTAGTAGCTGGGACTACAGGTGTGCCATGACGCCTGGCTAATTTTTCTATTTTTAGTAGAGACGGGGTTTCGCTCTTGCTCAGGTTGGTTTCGAACTCCTGATCTCAAGCAATCCTCCCACGTGGGCATCCCAGAGTGCTAGGATTGCAGGTGTGAGCCGCCGCGCCCAGCCAAGCGTAGTCATTTTAAAGTTTATTAAGTGTTAAGTGTATTCACGGTATTGTACAGCTGATCTCCAGAACTTTTTCATCTTGCAAAACGGAAACTCTGTCCATATTAAACAATAACACCCCATTTCCCCTTGCCCGGAGCCCCTGGCGCCTGACATTCTGCTGTCTGTCTCTGTGAATTTGACTGCTCTAGTACCTCATGTAGGTGCAATCACATAGGAGCTGTCTTTTTGTGACTGGCTCATTTCACTTAGCATAATGTCCTCAAAGTTCATCCAAGTTGCCTCAGCCGTCAGAATTCCCTTCCTGTTTAAGGCTGAATCACATTCCACCATATTTATATACCATGTTTTGTTTATGCGTTCATCCAGCAATGGACAGTTGAGTTGCTGCTACCTTTTGGCCATTGTGAATAGTGCTGGTATGAACACGGGTGCACAAATATCTCTTCAAGACTGTTTTCAATTCTTTCGG